TTTCTACCAACATCTTCCTTTAAAAAATGCCTAAATTTTCCAAAGTTTTTCAACACTCGTAAGCGGCTGACTAATGCGTTTCCAAATAGTATGGAGGTCAGTAATGTAGTCTTTTTAAAAACATACGAGACGCTTAATACACCCCTGTGTTTTACAAGTGGGGGAGAAAGTGCGTGTAGGAGGATAAAATGAAAAACATTTTTTTGATTATTTCAAACTGAGAAACTTTTTTTGATTACTTCGTCAAGTAAGGCTTCGCCCTGATATGCGAGCAGTCTTGTTTGTATCATGCCCATGAAACGTACTTTTGATTCTAACAAATATTTCACAAGCTATCTCTTTCTTGTAGAAATATGAATCCTTAAAAAATTGCAAAAGGTTCAAAAATCCAAATCAACGCCAGCTAATTGATTCCATAATTTGTTACTAAACTCTAAAAGTATCACTTTGCGCTCGACCTTACGCGTGAGGGGTAGGTGAACAAGAAAGCATAATCAAAAATCTTTTAACGTCTAAAGGGGTAGTTGTTGCATTCAACGCAGCCGTGTTAAATTTCTTTTTTTTTGCTATACACCCCAAGTTTTCTTCTACATCCCAATTATAGAAAAATGACTATGAAACAAAAAAAATACAAAATTCACGCTAAAATCTCCAAAACTAGTTTCACTCGAGTAAAACTAAATTTTCATGGATTAAATTAAGCTATTGTGATATATTAAAATAAGCTATTTTCACCTTGTTTGCTCGCTTTATTCGCCCAATTAAGGCTAAAAAAGGTTAACCTGTTTTTCTCAATACTGCGAAAACCGTTTTTTAAAATTTTTTGAAGGTCGCTTCAATCACGATTTAAAGGACTTTACTATTACATATCACCTGAACCGTTCCGAGGAATATTTTTTGTACTTAATTTTTGCGTGGGAAAAACACAAGACAAAAATTAAAACACTTAAATGCAAAGTTCCTCCCCATTTTTAAAATAGTTAGAACAAAAAAGAGATTTTGTTTCTTTCAATGTAAAATTTCAAAAAATACATCAGAGAACAAGTGGCATTCTCAGAAAACTTACTGAATAGCGGCCTGATCGATTTCCGGCAAAAATTTTCTGGTCTATTTTCAGCGGGCTATTTTTTGAGGTTATTTTTTGAGAGCTTCTAAGAAATGGTCAATAATTAGCAAACTCTTTGGTGATATTTTTGTTCACTTTCAAGTTTTCGAGTATTTTTAGTTGATAGGGAGACTGATAAAACCTGGTATCGCTTATTGCGATTGCCTTGTGTAGTTCGCCTTAAGTTTATAATTTATACGGCTATTTGAGTTGCAATTTCATCTCTTGTGAGCTGAATTACGGCATTGACTGAAACCTTTAAGGTACTTCGATAACTTAAGCTCTTGACGTTATTCAAAACTAGTCGAGCATCTCTTTTTCCTCTAGAAATGTCATGATTTTTGTTCATTCCTCATTTCAATATATTTTTTTATCCATTGTTGTTGCTCGGCATGTATAAGATTGACATGTTGAGCAGTTTCATTTCGTAGTAAATTTTTTTTTACATTTAAAATGATAACACTGGTGTTTCTTTGTCTTTGGAAGATATGGTAAACTGGTGAGACGCTTCAAACTTTATAGCTCATAGAATGGTACAATAGTATGACAGTAACTAAGGCAAATTGATTTAAAAACAAAAAATGAAAACATGTTTTTTGATGCCTTCAATTAGCATCAGGTAAGTTATTTTTGTTTTAAACGCGTGAATGAGGGATTAGTTATCTAGCTAATCAAATAGCAAATTTTCTTTGAGAGACTGATTGCATCGAAAGAATTGAAAATAACATCTATCGCGTCAGTTAGTACACTTAATCGGAGCGTTCTATAACTGTTACAAGACTTAATTTGAAACAAAGTATCGGTTTAAAAACGGGGTAAATTGCTTACGGGATTGCCTTTTACGGGGTGATAAAACAAGGTTGTTAAACTTATGGATTAAATAATTTGAAGTTAAATGGTGGTCATAAATACAATAAAGATTCCTTAAAAGTCAAGCCTCAGTTCTTGTTTTCACCAATAATTCAGTTCCAAAAATTTTTGCCCGGTTCGGTTTTCCCTCGAAATAGTTTGTGGAAAGATAAAAACTTTCCGTTTTTCCCTAACTCTGCCTGTTTTCGGATGAATTAATCTCAAGCGAAATTCATCAGAGAAAAATCTGTTGCAAGAGCAGAGCTTACCGCTTTCCTTTCCAAAAGTTTAATAGATAGTTTCAACCAGATGCAGGTCTATTATATTCTCGAGGAGAAGAGATTTTTAAAAAAAAATCAACCTCACCCTCTTCATCAATAATGCAGAACAACGTTTTTCTTAAACTAGGTCCTCATCGTTGAAATTGATCCAGAAACACTTTCATAACTCTATGCTCATCACTGAAATTGAACCAGAAGCAGGTGTTCAAATTTGCCCTCCCCACGCATATTTTCCCACAAGAACTTGGTTCAACATAGTTGTTCCTTAGCATTTAACTTGTAATTAAATTAAAATAGGATGCAATAGACCACCCATACCTTGCAATTTATGAAGACTTGCGATACAAAACAGCAGAAATTAACAAATAGCAAAAAAAAGATCATCCAGTAATAGCACAGAATGTTTTAAAAAAGTAAAAAAACTTTTAAAAAAATTGAAAAGGAAACTTAAAAATGGAAACTAGATAACTTTTTTTCTCAACAAAAGGCAAATAAATTAGGTTAATTATAGCTATAGGAAGGTTAATCTTTCAATTGACTTGAATCGGCTGTAGAAAAAATTGATGAGTCGTCAGTGTTACCAAATTTCTTGAAAATTGGTCTCAAAATAAGAAAAAACGGGCCATTTTTTTGTTTTTTAGAGTCTACTACGTCACTACTGAAATTGTGGGTCTTCAAATTTTTCTTCAATCTGATCCCTTTCAAACTTTTCTTGAGGCATTCAAATTTAGGTGGAAAACACACCCTGCTCCATGTTTTTTCCTTATTTTCGTGGATTGGTAGGTACAAAAAAGGAACGCCTTCAATCAATATTCCGAAGCTTATCAAAAAGTACATACACAAACACACACACATACACGCACACACACACACACACACACACACACAAACACACACACACACACACAAACACACACACAAACACACACACACACAAACACACACACACACACACACACACCCATATATATTGAACTCAAAGTCAAAATTTAGCTCCAAATTCCTTCTTATTTTTTTTTAAATTTGCTCTGAATCGATTAAATTTTGACTTTGACTGTAAAAAAGTTCGGAAAATGATTAAAACTGGCGGTGAATTCGATCCAATTAATTTAACTTCCGTAGCAATCAAATCAAATAAAAAAAATTTCTCTCAATTTCTCATCGCAATTATATGAAAACTATGTTTTAATGGCCACTGAATTTTGGTTATCTGAAAATCTATACAGTTTTGAGTTGTCATCTTAAACTCTCAAAATATCTCGGAACGAGTCTTGTACTGGTACTAAAAAGGTAGTGCCCTATCTGTTACAAAAAAGGAAGCTCAAATTTCCCCTTATTATATCAATAAAAGGGTTCTTATTTGGCTTCGTGTTGATTCATACCGACATTAAAAACAAAACTTTGTATAAATGTTTTGTATGGTCCAAGCAAAAATTTTTCAATATTTTTTTTGGACCAGAATACTTCAAATGTTTTAAGCGCATGCAAATTTACAAAAAGACTGCTCTTATATCAGGGCAAAGCCCTGAATAATAGGACTGTCTTTTATTTCACATCGAAAGAAAGTATTGAAAATCTAAAATTTTGAACAATGTCGAAGTGTGAAATGTTGAGTGGTATGAAATTAACACGACCGATCCGATTAGCTAGCCTCAATTCAGTTTGGAACGATTTTGTTGTGCGGGATAATTCACCACGCATAAAAACTTCGCGTTACGCTCTCAGCAAATATGAATGAATTCTTCAAAGCGCGCATAATTTAGTCCAGGACATGGTCAATTTGGCAATTTTCAAATCCCCAGAACTCTACAAAAAAGATCGAACGTAAAATATCTCGAGAAGTCAATATCTCCAGCGAAAATTGACTGAAGAAAAAAAACCATACCGAGCATAACTATTCTGTTTTTTTTTCGAAAGTCGGAACAACAAATTTTCTGCTGTTTTATTGCTTTAAAACTAATGCTTTGGATAAACTGGGTCTTTTATCAAGTGTTTAACCAATTTGGAGTATTTCTTTTTAAATAATAGTAAACATTCACAGGTTCATGAAAAAGAAACGACCAAGCAAACGGCTAAAAATAACTATTGACCCAATCTTAGTCTGGGTATATGTGAGTGAACTCTAAATACTAAGATGCTGGATCCATGCTGGTATTTAGAAATATAAGTGATGTCAATTTTCTTTTTTACTGTTGATCTGCGCATTTTATTTGGTGGGCTAAAATCTTGGCTTGGTGTTTGGTGCAAAGTTTGCGTCAAAAATGGTTGTTCATTGTGACACAACTTAAGTTTAAAATATGGCTTTTTTGAACGCATTCCAATTCATCGCGGCACTACAAAATAGCGCAATTATATCTACTTTTTAAACTTTGAATGTTTTTTTTTAACATTTTTCATAAATACAGCAAGTAACGTTCTATTCAACTAACATTCTATTCAAGTGCAAGTAACGGTCTAGTCGCGCAATATAATATGAATTCAGAAAAAAAACTTCCTTCAAGTTTCCTATCACCAATGGCATAGGAGGTTTTATCAGTGCGGTACTCGGTGCAGGAATAAAAAAAAACACATCTTAGGCCAGTTCGTTCCCATCCTCTGAACAAAAACAGGATGAAATTTCTCCCTCTCTCGAATAATTTTTAAATTAACTATTTGCACTTTTTTTGAGAGAAATAGGCAGCAAGATTGAGGAGAGGTAGAAACTCTCGACATTTAGCTGCATGGATCATAGCAGCAGAGCGATTGAGCATTGGTGTTTGTTTTAGAACAGTGAGCTGAATGAGGAGTGTGATCTGTTGACTAGACAGAGGGCTTTGATGGCACTGTGCGACCATCTCAGAGACCCAGAACACATCCAACACGCCATTCAGTGTGGTCAGTAGCAAATTATAATAGTCATTGAAAGCAGCAAATGCCTCAGAATCCAAAGCCAAACATGTTTTTTTTTAATTTTCGGATGCATTGAAGACATTTTAGACATTGGCCAGCAGCGTTATCGTTAAATTTGATTAAATTTGCTGTTTTTATCAAGTATTTTTGAAATGTTTATAATAAGCTTCGTATTCTTTCCCGCGCTAATGACTACCAACCTTTAATTGAATCGTTGCTGTTATGAAACTTATCGCGCTGAGGAGCTTTCAAGTACTTCGGGGCTTTTAGAGTCATGAATATGCAATTGAAGTGGTTTCTTTGGAGCCGATAGTAAAAATTGTAATTAATTTTAACAGTTTTCTTGCGCACGGTTACATTGGTTATAGTTGGCAAATATGAACCGCGACTTTAAATTTTGTTTTCAGGCATCATTTTGAGCTTGAAAAAACTGCTGGCGGATGATGACGTCACTGTGCGATGGAAGACGTTAGAAGTTCTCTACATCATTTCCTGTTAGTTCGAAAAATTTAAAACACTTCAGATTACGTAATGAATGGTAATGCAAAAACAGATCATTCGTAGACAGGCATAGACAGGCTAGCACCTTTTTGATAGATCCAATGCTATTTGTTACAGACGGAATCCCTGAATTGTTTTTATCAGACGGAATCCCTAAATTCTCTGACTTCCTTTTAACACCCTGATGAAATAGTTCATGAAAAACTGATGAATTGTTCGAAATAAATTGAAAACAATTTTGTTTTGGTTCTTTTTTCTTCATTCATCCACGAATATTGGTGCGCGCTCTCCCACATGCCATGTCAAGTTCAAATTCAAAATCAACGGCAGGGGCTTGTACGATTTGGGGGATTGTACGGTGGATCCAAAATTCATAAAATTCGAGTCTGGTAACATGTTAATAAGACTATGATGCTTGGCTCATTATTTGGCTTTTAAAGAAAAGTTACGGAATATTTATGCTTGTTTTCATCTAAGTCAAAACTCGACCTTTTACCATGTAAAATAATAGTTTGATATTGTTGTTATGAACTCAACTATCAAAAAACAATTCATCTGGGATTTTTTGCTGCAAATGGTGTCCTACAATTTAATACATTACAATTTAACACCGTAAATTCTAACATCTATTCAATTCACTACTAAAAAAATAAAATTCACAGAAATTTAACTCCTATTTTCCAATTTAACGCCAAAAATTTCAACATCAAGTGATATCATTTCTAAAATTAAAGCTGTATGAACTCTTTATTCTAACTTCTCTCACATCAATACTAATCCTGCAATTAACGCACGCACCATGATGAAAAACTTGGTTCATCCTAGTTATACATGACATCAAGCATTTAAAAGATCTCAGCGAGAGATTTACCCCGGCTGTCGCAGTTGTCAGTGCGGTTTTGTCAGTCACAAATGATTTGGCCGATCAGTTTGCCCTCCCAACTAAAGGCAAACTGAGCCGAACTGCAGCGCGCACATGTGCGCAGCTAGATTTCAATTTTGAAATTTTTATCCGGTAAGACAGTGGATCGAATGATCACGAGCGTATTATTTTGTGCGGCGACCCTGAAAAGCTAAGAGTTCCCAGCGAAGCGAATTACGAGCGATTATTTTGTTCGGCGACCCTGAAAAGCAGAGGAAAACCTACAATTGATTTTTGCATGCGCTATTTGATTTAGCACCCAACTGCTGTCCTGAAAAATCTTAATTAGCTTTTGAGCAAGCTGCTCTTCAGTCCTTCCAGAAAACATTCCGCGAAGCACAATTATCGGGTTGTTTTTTCCATCTTCTGTAGAGTTAAATGCGAAAAATCGAAGAAGTGGGCCTGTAAGTGATCTACGAAAACCTACGGCCCTCCAAACGCTGCCTTCCCTTGCGTTTGAAAAAATTTTAGTCCTTCCAAAATTATTCTCAGCTTTTTTTTTAAAAAGACGTTTCGAAACTTAATTAAGCCGGAAACTTAATTAAGCACAAGAACTTGACTCGTGCACTAGCAATTTAGTCCCAGGACAATTGCCCTTTTTTCGAGTTCCTAGGTTGTGATTAGGGGCTGGCAAACCCTTTACCTTTGCGTTTGTGTGCCAACACTTCAAAAAAAAAGCTGGCAAAGCGGTCAGGTTATAGATTAAAATTCGAGAATGGTTCTGAAAAAAAAATAACTTTTAAGCTTTTGATTTTGGTTCAAACCTTTTTTCAATGTCTGCTTCGGCTGAAAATGTCTGGAGAATCAGACCACATTTTTCAAAGGATTGAAACATTGCCTTTTGGATTAAAACATTGCTGGAAATGTTTTAAAACGGTGTTAAAAACACAAAGAAATATTTTTTAAAATGTAGCAATGTTAAACTGCCCCGGCAACAAATTATTGGGAGTGAAATTGTATGATGTTGAGTTGTTTAGAGTTAAAAAGATGGAGCTGTTTCAAACATATGGGAATTTGGAAATCGCTGATATGTCCAGCTTGTTATAATTGACGCGTAAGCGGTAAATAAATCATTCAATTACGGATTGAAACCAGCAAATTGGTCTGACAGAGATCATAAGCGAAGTGCTAGGTAGATAGGACGACAGGCTATTAAGACCAAAAGACAATACTCGGGCAATTAAGAGCATTTAAAACATGTAACACACGTAGTTCGAATTTCAGTGTTTTAAGTTTCTCAAAATTACAATGTGGAGAATTGCGTGTAGCGTCGTCTTAAAGACCCATCAAAACGGTTGTAGTTTTACTGTCCTGATGTCTTATTTACGGGTCAACGACAAGAGATTCTTTTGTGCATGTGGCAGAATCACAAGAAGACAAAATGAAAAAGCAATTAATCAATTTTCCTTTTTTTTGTTTGATTGATCGTTTTTTGAAGCAAACATTTTTTATAGCTATTGGGGGATGTCGGAGCATTAACGGTGTCATACCTCAACTTATGAGCATCAGTATAATGAATCCGAACGGATTGATAAACATAGTCTTTATATGAATTTGAACAAAACAGCTGTTGTTCAGAAACATAAATTATCGTATGAGACTTGCTCATGGACTTTAGTCGGCATGCAGCCGTATCAAGGTCAACTGGCCAAACAATATATAAATAAATATCTTAATCAAATTTAAAAATAACAACGATAATAAGTTTATTCATACGTACCGGATGACACTCCCTCTTCTCTAAAAATTTTAAGTTTCAAACTTTCGAGTTTTATAGTCTCTTGAGGACTCGTATGCATTTTCTCCCTCTTGTCTAATGTTTGCTATTTCATTGATTCCTCAACTTCTTGATTGTTGTTATCGTCTTCGGGTTTTTCGTGTTCCTCTTGGGTGGCCTCTTTGTTTGTGATGTTGTCCGTTTTGTTGCTGCTTTTCTTAGTTTCGATAAATAGGATGTCCGTTTTGTTCGGGCTTTCATCTGACGAAATAAGGTCGAATAACTTCTTTCATATGTTTTGCTTTATTTTTCGAGCTGATTGTCTCCAGAAAAATTCATTCACGCTTGATATTCTGGTGATTTGTCCGCGAAACCCATTTCCTGAATGATCGATTTGAGGCTTGGTTTCGTCGATGGGTATATTTGATCCGATGGTGAATGGTGTTTCCAGAATGCCTGTACCTATGCTGTATGTGGTGTGTATGTTAAAATTATTCCGTCGATTGTTTTATATTTTTCTTGAAAAGTTTTGGGATCTTTTACTTTATTTGCCACTCGGATCGTCTTTCTTGCCATTTGTTCTAAGCGTTTGCTAACGTTTTTGTCGGTGGGTGTTTGTATTCCTTTATACCTATTGTTTATTTTATCTACATTTATTGCTATGTTACGTTTGCGTTTTGCACCTGGTGTTTGTTTTGATGTCTTGCCTGCTCCAATCAGTTGTGGGTGTAGTTGCTGTCGTTTGTTGATCGAAACTTCATCCTCCGGCCAATGTTGCAACTCGTGCATGATTTCGGGTGGCAGAGGCGGCTTCGTGAAGTTTTTTCGATCTAAACATGCGTGTTTTGCATTTTCCCAGTTCAGATTGGTGGGTGAACTAGTATTTGCCAAGTTTGACAGAGGAGTATTTGGTTTTCTGCCCATGTGTGCTTCAAAAGGTGAAATTCTGGTTACACCATGTGGTGTTATGCGCAAAATTTTTAATATTTCAGCAAAGTCCGAAGCTTATTTGTATAGTTTATTTGTTGGATCTATTCTCATAACTCCTAGACGACATTTTAATGTTTGTATCATTCTTTCTACCACCCCTATGGCTCTATGATCGCCGACTGGTGCAAAAAGTAACTTTGTATGATTTGTGTTAGAAAAAAAGTTGGAATTTTTTTGCTCCAATTGTTTGTGTTTGATCACATTTTAGCCGACGCGGTACTCCGTTATTCGAAATATACCGTTGCATGCATTTTATGACGATATCTGCTGTAGTATTTGAAACAAACTTTACTGTCGGAAGTTTTGACCATTTGTCTATTGCAACGAGTATGTAAGCATCCTTATTTAATTCATCGGGAAGGGGCCCGACAAAGTCTAGTTGTACTTCTTCATTTGGTTCTACTACCGAATCCAATTGGAATGAATGATTTTTTCCGTTGTTGGTTTGAGGTTTTTACCTTGTTCTGTACAGTCCTTGCAATTTTTCGCCAGCTGGACATTTGATCGGTGGATGTGTGGGTTACTCCAGCGTTGCGGACGACCCTGAGTGTGTCAAGTGTAGGCTTTCCAGTATTGTCTGGCGCAGCTGTGATGGTATAACGATGTGTTCGTCAATCAGCAGACAGTCCTTCCGCGCATGTAGTCTGTTGCGGACTTTAAACCAATATTGTCCGTAGGCGGATTTTATCGCTTCCCAATCCCAATTTTTCACAAAATTGATGAGCGGTTTGAGATTCCATTCCTTTTTGGTAACTGTGGCGATGAATTTGAACCCCGGGACCTTTTGCAGTCGTCGTCGCAACAGCGGTGTGTCCTCCTCTGCTTTCGTATTTGTTGTCTGATTAACAATTGCCACTATCCCTTCTGTTATTTCATGGTAGCTAGCTTCCAGTTGTGTGGCTTTGGGTTGTCTTCCTGACATTGTGGGCGGATCTTCATTTGAGGCACATTGCTCCTGGCTTGCGATGTCGTAGTTTATTCGACTCACGAACTCCTGTGTCTCGGGCCGTTCCTCCCTAGGTTCTGTTTGGGTTCCCACCAACACTTTATCGTTGTCCGTCTGTATTGCCACTGTTGCCTTAATTTTGGGGATGCGCTGTTTTGCTGCTTGTGGATTTTTTTCGGTAAACGATATTGTCGGGGATTTTTTGACTGGTGGTGGCCTTGAGGAGATTAATTCTCTGGCGTCCTTGACGTTTAATTGTGTAGTTGTCAATGCCGAAGTGTTGGCTGTTGCTCTCTCTTTCATTGGTGGTCTTTTTTGCTACCGAGGATCGGAGAGGCTTTCTTCCCTGTCTGATGTCGCACGGCAGTCGATTTGTTTTTCTTCCTTTCGACCACGTGGGTTTAGTGATTTCAGTTCG